AGGTAACTTGGCGGACAGAACAATGGTCAGGTTCCCCTCAATTGGCGGTTTGGATTGGTGGTTTGGGGATTTGAAGCCCCTGGAAACCACTCCTTAACCACCAAACCACCAATCCAAACCACCAATTAGAGGGAAGCTGAGATGGATGTTGTCAAGTTGACGGTTTTTAAAACCAAGCTGCTGGCCGGCATTCTCAACGCTTTGGTACGCCTCCTTCACCTGTTCCCTTCATTCACTGATTGACGTTCGGTTTGGGAGAGACTACTTCATCACGCCCGAATCTTCAAGACTTCAGCTTGCGCAGAAAAGTGTATTGAATTGAGAATTGCGCCTCGCGTTTGTTGCACTGCAAGCATCCGTTCGGACCTTGGCTTGAATTGGGCATGTTTGGCAGTTCTTTGGCATTGCCGCATAAGTGTGTGTATATATATATACACTATATGTATGTGTAAATATATATATTCTGGGTATGTGTATGTATATGTGTATACACATGTGTTTGGTTGCTGGTTGACCCTCTTTGGGTTGTACCGGCTTTGGAAGGAACCGCAAAACTGGCCTTTGCGAAGCTCCAGGCCGGGCCTCCGAAGATGAAGCGGCCGCCGGAGATGGATGAGGAGGCTGACTCAGCGAATTTTCAGGTCCCCGTTGGCCCATTTTGTGGATGGTACCTGGCGTTTATGGATATAGTAAGGCCATCATAAGGCCTAAACCACAACCTTAGGACCAACGGTCAATGGGTGTCGGGCGCTGCTCACATGGTGTGTGTTTTTGTGTTTGTTTGATTGATTGATTTGATTTGATTTGATTTGATTTGATTTGATTTGATTTGATTTGATTTGATTGGATTGATTGATTGATTGGATTGATTGATTGATTGATTGATTGATTGATTGATTGATTGATTGATTGATTGAGGGCTGTTTTTGCGTCTCAGTGTAAAGGGACGCCAAAAAAGCAACCACCCCTTGTGGGGTCCAAATCCCCATAGCCCACATTAGGCGTACCATAACTCGTTAGCTAGTGGCTTTCAAAGACGAAGCCAAAGCCCCCATTTTCCGCGGCCAGCGTTTGAGGGGGCCGCAAAAATGGTGTCTGCATACCAGTTTCACCGACGCTGGTTTGCATGACGATCTGCACCCCTCCCCTCCCCCCGCCCATCCTTTTTGCACTGACTGAGTCTAAGCCCCCCTGTTTCGGCTGTGATGGGCTGGATGGTGAGGAGCGGCGCGTGAAAATGGAAGAGATCAGCAACCTCGAAGTGCAACTCCAGGAGGCTCGCAGTCTGATGCTGGTAGAGGGTTCGAGGGGCTGGGGGTGCAAGACAAGTCAGCCAGGGTTCCGGATTGACCGCTTGTTTTTTTTTTTTTTTTTTTTTTTTTTTTCCGTTTGGGAACCCCAACAAAAAAAGTATGGGTTGGTTTTTTTGGCTTTCCTTTAAAACAGTGGGACCCTCAAAAGAATGACATACCCATTGTGATTTCCGATCTGTTTTCGTGGGCCCTGCCCCTCCTTGCGCTCGGCTCAGGCGAAGAACATTGCGGCGGCTGCCAAGAGGGCTGCGCAAGCGGCGGAGCAGATGGCGGAAGCATCGGCCGCAGCTGTGGAGGCAGAGCAACCCTAGAATTATCAGGTGAGCCACAATCAAAACCCGCGTAAGTGAAGGTTAGTAAAGGACGATCCCAGCCACAAATAGCTGCGGCCGCGTTCTTAGTTCTTCACATGGTTTTGGGTCGACCATTTTTGTACCGGGTTTTGATTGTGACTCAGGTAACCATTAGTTGGTGGTCACCCCTTCCCCCTTTCTGGGGTCGTTATATTTCGGCCGTTTGTGTTTTTTTTGGGGGGGGTATCAAAGTCTGCAGATGGGGGGCTGGTTTTCTTTAACCTACCACTTAGGACTGTCATAACTGTAAAATTATGGGGCCGGCCTTTTGAGGTCAGCGTTTGCAACATAACTTGTTTGCCGTTTAGGCGTGCAATGCCAGGCTCAGTCGGAGTCCGAAGACAGCCAGTCCACTCAAGGGCGCAAGAAGGACTGCGTGTGTCTAAACGGAGGAGGCTTCTTAATGTTGCACGTGGACTAATACACCCCTGTTTATAAATATGGGGGGTGTCCCTGGTTTTAGTGAGGATGTGTCACTTTTGGAGGGGAACACCCGCCATATGAACAAACAGGGGTTTATTAATCCGGGGTCAACATGAAAAAATGCGGATCCCTTCGCGGTTGCTGCCCAAGAGACCAAAGGAAGCAACCGAAGATTTGTTTGAGAACCAGATGGGGAAATGGGATAAATATGTTGAGCGCACCCTCAAAGGATGGCAAGGAGATTTGTGGAGCATGCATGCGAACGTAAACTGTCATTTGGGCGGCCTGCAGCCGGGAGTCGGCCATCTCAAACGAGCCTACCCGAAGCTCTACCCGAAATTCATTGCTTTTGTAGCTCACGGTGACCCTTTGGAAACGGCAAATGAGAAGGTTCAGAAAGAGGGGCTGTTGGCAGCCGCTGCTAAGAGAAAGAAAGAACAGCTAGAGAGGGACCTGGAGAAAAAGCAGCGCAGGGATCGTGAGAGGAAGGCACGCGGAGGACTGGGCCGGGCTGCTCAGGGACCAAAACCGTGCGCTGGAGGATGAGTTCCTGCAACAGCGCGGAATTGGGGATGACGCAGACCTGGACTTCCATTTGGTGACGGCCAGTGCAGCAGGGGGCCTGCCGTCAAACACGTCTCCTGAGGTTGTGCTGCACATTTGTCGCAGCCTCTTCCCTAAGCGCACCACCTGGGCCTGCACGCGCACCGCCTGTGCCCCCGCAGCCCCTGCGCTGCCGCCAATGGCCAGCCACCCGCCCAAGTACACGATGAACATTATGGGGAGACAGTCTACATCCCGCTAGAACCCGAGCAGTTTCCGGGCCCGTGCCACACGTGCCCCGGCTGCGGTCATCGCCGTAACAGAATCGAATGAGAGATGAAAAGGACAATTGTTTGCTTCTGTTGCTTGCCTCTCGTTTGGGTCATCTTTTGGGGATTTTGGGATGGCTGTACCTTTTTGGTTGCCAACTGAGGGCCAAATCTGTTTTACGCTACGCAGAACACTGCCAGGAAGGCCAAACTCTTGGTAACCGGATTCCTCTGGTTCGGGAAGGAAGATTGACAAAGTCTCTTCATTCCGTACCCGTGAGCCAATCGCCACTGCTTTCGGAGAAAAAGAACACAAAGAGAATGATGGGTGGATGGCCACTTGTAGCCAACATGCCCCGCTGCTACCACGGACGTGTACCACGTCAGCCATGCCCCCCCCTTGTCCGGATGCACAATCTCCACCCTCTTCTTGTAGAAGTCGCTCAAAAGTCTGACCACTTCTCAGCTGGGTGACTGGTCAAATCGGCCAAGTTACTTAGTTGAGACGCAAAATCTAGGAAGCTTGGTGCGCTTCACGCTGGTGTGAGGCGGAGCCCACGCCCCCTGTTCGTCTGCGTCCTCCTCTGTGCTTGGTCCTGGAGGGGCGGGCAATCCTCCTCCAAGCCAAATCCTGTTTCATGCTCCTCGTTCACATCCAAGTCCAAGGTCATGTGTCCAGGGACAAGCCCCGGAAAGGACGAGCAGACGACAACAGACCCAACCCCTGGCGATTCTTGACTTGAGGCGGGCTGTCGCTTGGCTCTTCCTTCGCATTGTTCACACTGACGGCGACCGCCACAAACCACCAGAGATTTCGCTGCGGTGGCTGCAAGAACTTTCTCCACAGCCCGCATAATCTGGATTAATTTGTGCATGACTGTACCCCCCCGAGGAATTTAGTTCAGCCAAGTTCCATGCGCGCAAAGCGGCCAGCTGACCTCAACGTCGCTCAGCTCTGCCAAGGATATATCATTTCGAACGAGCCAAAACAGAATAAGTTGAAGTGCCGTGAACACACACAAGTAAAATATATTTGGTTCTGCGGCGTTGTAGATTGGAGTTATAGACAGCTAAGAGGACCGAGCGACGTGCCATTGCTTGATACTGACCAACGTATTTCGCGTTTCGAGCCGCAGTATTTGCTGAATGTTTATATATATATATATCTTAACCTATATACACATCAATGTAGATAATGTCTGGCGATTTTCACCTGCGTTGCGATTGAAAAGTGGTGTATATTTACATATGTCATTGAGCTGCGGCACTGGATCTTAGTCAAGGTGCGCTGGAATTGATGGCCAGCATGCGTGCCTCGATGGATCATGCGGGTGAGATGGAAGGCGCCCTCCGAACACAATGCCGCAAAGTCTGAGCATGATTTCAGAAGCGGAGTACGTTGCAGCTTTGGCATGGAAGGTGCCAGACGGGCGCTCAGACAAGCGCAGAAGTTGCCGCAGCAAAGCTCATTGGCCGCGTGGCAAGGCTGGTGGCAGGCACAGAGGTCTCAGTGAAAACCTGCAAGCGAAAGCTTGAACAGGCACGCACAGCTGCCACGACGCAGTGATCTCTCAAGTGGATGAGTCAGAGCGCATGCTGATGGACGAGAATGCATCGTGTCAAAACATTGCAGGCGGGCGGCGGATCGCGTCTGACATGGCGGATGTTGAGTGGAGCATTCATGTGAACGTAACGCGAGCTGTCATCTTGGGTGGCAGGGCGGCATCTGCCAGCGGTGGCCATTTTGGCGCCCATCTTTTCCTTTGTTTTCCAGACCGGGGAGGCAGCTCACGGACACGGATTGAGCTGCGATGGATGCGCTGGAATCGATGGCCAGCATGGACAGCGTTTTCAAGCGGGCTGGCCTCGAACAATCGAAGATGGAAAACGCGGGCGAGATGGAAGCGAAAGCTTGAACAGGCAAGCGCAGCTGCCGCGACACCTGCGCGCCGACGCGTCACAGCGAAGCTCAACGCAGGGGTCTCTCAAGTGAATGAGTCAGAGCGCGTGGTGATGGACGAGAATGCGTCGTGTCCAAACATTGCTGGCGGGCTTCCGCATTGCGTCTGACATGGCGGATGTTGAGTGAAGCACTCGCGCGTAACACGGGCTGTCATCTTGGGTGGCAGGGCGGGATCTGCAAGCGGTTGCCGTTTTGGCTGCAGGGTGGAGGCGGCTCACGGATACGGATTGAGCTGCGACAGCGCTGGATCCCAAGCAAGATGCGCTGGAATGGCCAGCATGGACAGCATTTTCAAGCGGGCTGGCCTCGAACCGACGCGGGCGAGATGCAAGGCGCCCTGCGTACGGCGCTCGGCCTTCCGCGACTACCATGGCAGCTGGACAGCAGCTAGATCGCCCACAATTGCAGAATTGGGCGCAGCAAAGCTCATTGGCCGCATGGCAAGGCTTGTGGCAGGCGCAGGGGTCTCAGTGAAAGACCCCAAGCGAAAGCTTGAACAGGCAAGCGCAGCTGCCGCGACACCTGCGCCAGCCGGCGCGTCGCAGCGCAGCTCAACGCAGTGATCTCTCAGTCAGAGCGCATGCTGATGGACGAGACTGCGTCGTGTCAAAACATTGCAGGCGGGCGGGCGGATCGCGTCTGACATGGCGGATGTTGAGTGGAGCATTCATGCGAACGGCAAGCATAATTTCGGCACACTTCTTCAGGGTGTCGCTCATCCACACGAATCTTTTGTGCCTTGAGAGCGCCAGTTGGCACCCAGGCTACTTGGGTGGAACTTGGATGTAGCAGCATCGTGTCAAAACATTGCAGTGGCGGGCGGGCGGATCGCATCTGACATGGCGGATGTTCGGCTCCAAACTGTTACTTGCAATGCCCCCAAACTCTGTCCCCAGAAAAAATGGGCGCGGTTGTCGCGCACGTGTTTGCATTGAGCAGGATCTCGACCCCAAACAGCAGGCGCTGGCGGGTCAAGATGAATTTGCTCACGTCGGTCCATTTGGGGGCTTGTTGCGGGCACCAGCTGTTAGTCGGTTTACGCAGAAAGGCAAAAGGAAGCCAACCATGCAGAGATGCGTTTGCAAAAAACATGAAAAATCAGACTTGTTAGTCCCTGCATGAGTTTAAAGATTCAAATCAAGGAGGGGGGTGGTTTGGCAAACCCGCCCAGCACGAATCATCCTGCAGCTGGTCAGTTGAATACCGTCGGGTGTCAATACCTCTGTAGCCAATGAAATATGCACATAGTTCGCTAGCGTTGGCTAACTTGCTCTACAACGTAGATGGCATTACGACACAAGAATCCGCAGGTACATTGAGCAAACAGAAAGACAAGCGCTGATCCCCCATCAGCCCGCGCTAGCGAGCTGGCTATGTCCTGTTTCCAAGAGACGAACGAGCCTTTGTTCAATCAGTGCGCCAGACTCAACGGCCTCATGAGGCGTGATCTGATGCGTCATGCCTTGAGAGGGATCACGGGGGATCACAAGCAAGCCTTTACATGCCTGGGTTTCTTCCGGAGAGTCAATGCATTTTGTTTAGTGCACCTCCATGCGGATCTCTATTCACAGAAGTCAGTGCAATTTTGTGTCCAGCTTAGGATTTGCCCCTTGCCTTGAAACGCATTGTACTGTGTTGACTATGCAGTATAGCTGAAGGGGTTTTGGGGGGTACAGCTCCGGTTTCCCATCTTGTTCCTGGGCCCTGGTGAGACCTGTTGCCTTCACGACTGTTTGCAAGATTGGGTGTATGATCGGAAATCCAAGGATATTGTCGCAGTTGCTGGATTCAGAAGAATGAAGCCTACACTTGTTCTAGAGAGCTGACCCTTTGCAACCCATGCGCGTGAGCCGTGCACGAGTCTGGGACATGCTTTTGGAGCATGCGGCCTGTGTCCGAGTGGCTTTTGGCATATTTGCACTGACTTGCACTGACTTGAATGCACTGCCTAATCCAGCTGTGTGCTTGAAAGGCTTGCAGAACCCTGGGTCGGGTTACATTCAAGTGCAAGCCAAACAAGTCCTGGCTTCCATCTCCGCAAGGCTGTTGCATCCATGGCCTTCGCATCAAAACAAGGTATGGGTGTGCCCCAAAAATGGCGGTTTTCGTTTGGTGTTCCTTTCAAGCCTCAAAAGGAACGGGCTACCCTAAAAGGCACGGCTGGTTTGCTGCCTGGCTTCAGCTCGCGCCAGGCTGAAGCCAGAGTGAGGGCGCGCAAGCGACAGGAAGCAAAGGACCGGGAAGTCGAAGTCTCGGATGGAGCCTGGGGGCCAGGGCGAGGAGGGAGCCACAAGAAGCCCCTGGCCTTCTGCGTGGCTTAAGGGCTTCTTTGGGCTCCCCTTCCTCCCCCAGCCCCCATGACTGAAGGGCTCGGAGCTTCCCCTGAACGGGTCGCAAGCAACAGATGGCAACACGGCACGGTACACTCCAGGTTGAGGGGGTAGAGGAAGCTGGGTTCCATGACAAGGTTGAAGCGACCTAAAGGTGCTGTGCTCCAATTGGTCGAGACCAGCAGCCTCTTCCAAGGAGAGTATGATGAATGCAACCTAATCAGGGGTTTGTAGTAACCACAAACCCCTGATCAGGGTGCATGGATCATGTTCTCCTTGGAAGAAGAGGCTTCTCGTAGTTGCAACTCGCGGCGGCTTTTGCGCAAAGAAGAAGGTGCATGGATGCCATTGTCAGGCAGGAGAGCTGGCCATGGTCCTTAGGTGCACACCATGTGCTCAGGTCAGGCGTCCAAACGGGTCAAGGACACATCCATGCGCCTAAAGCCAGCTCACCGATTTCGGGGGTACAACGAGCTCACCATAAAGGTTCTTTACTTGGAGCTCCCTGAATTCAGCGTTTGGATTCATAGAATTTGCAGATCCTCAAGGTTCAAAGACTGAGCTTGGGCACCCATGACAGCTCGCTTCTTTCGGTGGCCCGAGGTTGTTCGGTCGAAAGGCGGCCAAAATCGGCGTTTCAGGTGAGCGCCCAAAGCCAAGGCCATGTTCGTAGGTTCAACCCGGCTTTCATGAAGCGGTTCATAGAGCCTATGGAAACCTTCAGTTTTTCCATGGTAGTATCGGCAGTCAATGGGTGAAACAGGCGCTCAAATGCTGCGAGGAGAAGCGAGATCGCGAGCGAAAGGAGGCAGAGGAGAAGCACCTGAAGCAGGCCCACCAAACTAGATGCCAGGGGGTGCGAAAAGGGTTCTCAGATTAGAGTTGAATTCAACAGCCGGGTGTCCTTTGGTTTTCCGTTCAATCCATCCAAAGAATAGTGGCCGAAAAAGTATCCGGGGGGAACCCATGGATATGGTCTAACCAAAAGCAGACTATCGTGGTTTTGACATGTTCAGACAAGGATTTTGTCCAACCTCGAGTTCTAAGTTGGGTTCCCACGCTTGAGCAGCTTGGTTTGGCAATGCGTTTTGGACGTGGTTTGCCTTGCAGTGGGCAAAGAGGGCCGCCATTTTGTCAACCGCCTGAACAGTCCTGCACAATTCAACCAAGGAGTACAATCCAGTACGTTGTGGGTGTCACCATTCAGCTCAGAAGAATATGGTCCTCGCAGCAAGGTTGTTTCTGCTGCAATGAGGAATCAAGCGTTATAAGGCGTGGTTTCCCTTGAAAAGCAACCCAAAAAGGGGTCTCTCAAAAAAGTCACGGCCATATCGGTTGATTGCTGCAAGCCCGTGCCGATCCATTTCGGGCCCGCTTCGGCCGCATGCTGGCTGAAACCCCAAGGCGGAACTGGAGGCCAAGGCCAAAGAGTTGGAAAGGCAGACGAAGGAGCGCGTGCAGGACGGGTGGAGCACCAGATGGGTCGTTTTAAATGGCCATGCGGGACGGCTAGGTGGTCATGTTGAGACCTTTTTGCGATTCGCTTTCGCATCGCCTTTCCATGGTCATGCATGATTCTGTCTAGGGTCAAGTGGCCGCTTGGTGAAGCTACATTGATTTGTGCGTCCTAAGTCTCTTATGAGAGCCAATGTGCCACACCTACACAATTACATGAGCCCGCGTCCCAACATCCAATGAACAAATGACAGAATGAGCTCACTAGCAAACGGCAGTATATCAAGCGAGTTACGTCTAAATGAAAGGCCCCTCGAGCTTTAGGAAGTGTGAGTTTTAGACATTGCGACTTGACCGCCATGACTTTTTTTCACGCCTCTAGGTTCGGGCTGCCAATGAGTCTCGGTGGCGTGTGATCCAAATGAGGCCTCAAATGCTTTGAGTGGCGTATGCATGATGGCGACGACGACGACGACGACGGAGTCTACGACGATGATGATGGTGGTGATGATGATGATAATGATGATGATGATGATTGTGAGTCGCTGAATGTACGGCGAAACTCAACAATTGCTAGGCGTGAATCACCAAGAGCCAATATTCGATTGTTTGCCAATAGAGGGGACTGTTCAGTTCGGCGTCGCCTTGCAAAAGCCACTATCTCCAAGGAACGTTGCCACTCAAATCAAGCATAACTCACCTGCCTGGGATGCTACAGGCACGCGCTAGGGAGTTGACCTCGTATCCAACAGGCATTTGATGGACCTGTTTCTTGTGTTGAGGGTTCCCTTGCAGGGATGGTGATTTTCTTCCTCTCCGTTTGGGGGACGGCGAGGAGCGTTTGCGGGCGGAGAAGGCTCGGGAGAAGCAGCAGCAGGAGGAGATGGAGCGTGCGGGCCCCGGTGCTGCTGTTGTGGGGGGGGGCGGGGGGGCGTTGAGGGGGTAGGGTGGGTTGAGGGGGGTTGTTTTGAGGGGTTGCGGGTGTTTTGGGGCCGGGACATGGCTATCGAAAAAGGGCAAGAGCCAGCCAGCTGCAGATTTGGCCATTGCTGAAGCGACATGGACCGCAATACGCAGCAGAAGCAATAGCCGGAGAGCGGCAGCGAGTAACAGAGCTAGCACCTTCGAGGTGCAATCAGAACAAGGCAGAAAGGCATGCGGCCATAGGTGTCCCTTTTGGTTGTTTTGGTCGAAAAATAGATGGCGATTCCTGGTTTACCTGGTGGTGTACTCATCTACCAGGGCCATCTAAAGCGCCTATGGATGCGGCGTGTCGCCGCGTTTGGCTGAAGGCGAAGCTGGGCTCAAAGAGCAGCGGTCACGGCAAGTTGCAGAGGACCTCAACACAACGAATCTGCGGACGGTTGCCAAATGGCTGTGGTTGTCAAAAATATTCAAAGACAGGGCAACCCCAAAATGGCTTGCCCTGGCAAATAAAAACATGGACTAAAACCTGCGGTCCCCTCTTGGTTTAATTTTGACCCATACCCAAATCCACAAACAGCACCTGTATGCATTGCGTGAAAACCTATACTGGTTGACAAAGACCAGTTGAGCGGGACTGCTTTTTGGGACGTTGCAACCATCCACATTCGACGCTGGCCGGCCGCTTGACTCACAGGATTCAACAGGCGAAACTCTCTCTAGGATGTTCAAAGGTAATCCTTAATCCTTACCTGGGGTTACGTAAGGGGTCCCCTTTGTAGTGGCTTTCCTGTAGGGATGGATCAGGATTGGCCAACCCTCCATTTAGAACAACCCAGTCTAGGATGGCTTGCTAGAATCACAAAGCATGGTTCATCAGACTCGCTGCTGCGTGGTTTGCTTGACATGCTCACGCGGCCGTGTGTGGGACTGTTGACCTGCTGTACCCGCTACCGCCGATTTTGAGAAGAGCATGAGTCATTATGAAGCCTTGAGCATCCGAAAGCGTCAGACGCTAAAGAGCGAGATACATGCTGAATCCGGCAGCCATTGAAACATAGAGTGTTCCTGTGGCGTTTCTGATGGCATACAAGCCAGAATGTTTGGTCTTTGACAGGGCCTTGCTTCCATTTTTATCTTTCTGCAGTCATTGTCTACCCTTTTGGAGTTCTCATCAACCTGTATTGCATCCTCGATATCGTCATGCGTCCCGAAACTTGTCATCGTAGATATCAAGCGCCCCCGCTGTCAGGACACCAAGGTCCTTACAGTTTGAGGGATGACCATGCGAGACACAAGTGGCTGTGGCTCAAAAAACTGGAATTCCAAAATGGGTTGCCCTGGAAAGAGGGTTAGCATGGCCCAAAACCGGCGGTTTTCCCCTCCTGTTTAATTTTGAGCCACACCCAAGTGTCCACTGTATCCCGAATGCCTGTTGGGCAAAAACCATGGCTTGTGTATGTGTGTGCATGTGGAGGTTGCTGGACACGTGGCAACCTTCAGATAAATGCAGCCCGTGTGCTTTGCACTAGATGTGTGAGAGGCCCTGTCTATCAAATGAGGAAGGTCCATCGCAGAATATCCAATCATAGGTGTCCTTTTTGGCTGTTCTGGTAGAAAAACAGATAGCGATTCCTGGTTTACCTGGTGGTTTCATCATCTACCAGGGACATCTATTTGCCCTAAAAGGACGCCTAGGTATCCAACGCCTTGCATTCAATCAACGTTCCCTGACCCGGGTCACATTCTTGTTTCGCGTTTGTCAGGGCTGGATTGCCAGGACTTCCCCTCCCACCAATTCGCCTACCTGACGTTCGGGGGTCCCTCAAACCCCCTTAAAAGAAGAAGGGTCCAAACCAGGACCGATTCCCCGAACGTCAGGTAGGTGAAAAGGGTGGCAGGGTCATCCACTAGAAATCAAGTAACTCTTCGAACCTCTCAATGGCGCGTCCCAGCCAGGAGCTGAAGCAGCAAGCAATGAAGCGCTTGGCAGAGAAGGCAAGAGACCCAACAGACCCAGGAAACCGACAGAAACGCGGGGCGCCTCTATTTTCAGCTTCCGAATTGGTGGTTACGAAGGGGCATAGGCAATCTCTCAAGAAGCGGCCGCTTGGAAAATCCGGACCTGGCTGCTACTTGAGGTGTGTGGAGCCCTGAAACAAGAAGCGCGCTTCGGTTGCTTACATTAGAGAAATACCTTGGTAATGCTTCTGAACAAAGAACGTGCATACCAAGGCGATTCTTGTGGCAAGTGCTAGCAGAGTGAGCGAATCCAAACATGTACCGTCACGTTGGTCTTGCAACCCGCCATTGTGTGATCACCATGTGTGTGTGTGTGTGTGAGTGTGCGTGTGTGTGTGTGTGTGTAAGCGAGTGTGCGTGTGCTTGTGTGTGTGTGTAAGCATGTGTGTAAGCATGGCGAGTTTTAAGTGGAGGTGTAAGCGTAAGTGCAAAGTGTGGCCGGTGTGGCTGTTTGACTGTGTTTGTGTGTGTGTGTGTGTACGTCTCCCTTTGCATGTCTCCGTGTGTTTTTGTGTGTCTGCATGTTTAGTTCTGGGTGTGATCGCGCGTCTTGGCAAAGTGGGATGTCGTGTTGTGAATGTAGCGGGGCATCCAGTCAGGAGCAGGCAGAAAAACAGATGGCCGAAGAAGCTGCGAGGATGGAGACGGAGGCGGCGATGCCAAGTTCGATCGTTTTCGTGACACTCTTCAGCTTCCCCTTGTTTGGTAGTTTGGAGCCCGGTGGTTTTTGTGCTTAAGGAGGGGGTTCCCATTTACCCTGTACAAGAACCAGGGGTTCACATCCCGAAACCACCACTGCAAACCACAAATTCGTGTCCAGCTGAAATCTGGAATCGTTGGTCAACCACAAAAGTACCAAAGAAACAACTTTGGACAAGGATAATTCCACTCCGAACAAGGGATAGTTCCACCCCTTGGTTTTTAGCACCAGTTTACGGGCAGAAAGAAGTTCCTGCGTCTGGCGTGCTAAAAGATCCGTGCCAGGCCAGACGCCAGCAGACAGAAGAAAATGAGGCCAAAGCCGAGGAATTGCTCGGGACCCAGGCATTGTGTTGCAAATGTCAAGGCACCACGTGTGTATGCATGTGTACGTGCCAGAATATAACATTAGAAATGGTACAGCGTTGCCAGGCCCCCCCCCCCGAATGGTCATGGGTCAGACAAGTAACCCCCCCCCCACTTGTGGTTGTGGTCCTGTGGTTGGGTTGTGGTGGTTTAGGGTTGGGTTAGAATTGGTTTAGGGTATATTTAGGGTATATTTAGGGTGTATTTAGGGTTAGTTTAGGGTTGGTTTATGTTGATTTAGGGTTGGTTTAGAGTTAGAGATGTACGGTTTAGGGTTTGGTTTAGGGTGTATTTAGGGTTGGTTTAGGGTTAGTTTAGGGTTGGTTTAGGGTTGGCTTAGGTTTAGGGTTTATTGTTGAGGGATTGGTTTAGGGGAATTTCCAGGGGGGGGTCCTGGGGGACGGGGGGGGGGGGGTGGCAACACGGAACACGGGACCATATATACAGTACGCATACACGTGTTGTTCCTACGATATGTATTTTGTCATGCAGAACATACATGTAGCTATATACTGTATTATATATACATATATATATATATACATGCATCGATGGTTTGCGAAAGGATGTAGGTGCTGCAAGTGAAAGCCAGATTTTTCCCCAGGCGCCAGAAGACGCGGCGCCGCGTGCAGCAGTACTCGCGGCAGCAGCGCGACCAATGTATGGCGCAAGAAGAGGCAGGGGCAATCCATGGTGAAAACATGTTTATGCCACAGTTGAGTCACAATCAAAACCCGGGTAGATGATCCGGTTAGTAAGGGACGATCCCAGCCAAAAATAGTTGCGGCCGCCTTGGTATTTCCTTAATTACATGCATGGTTCTGGGTCAATCATTTTAATACCGGGTTTTGATTGTGACTCAGTTGTTTAAAGAACCTCCTTTCGGTTTCCCTTGTGCTTGCTTCAAGAAGTCTAGCACCCTAGAGCAATACGAACTTGAGTTCAGATTCAGGGTGCCAGAGATCTTCCGTTTTGACCCATGGGCTGATGGAAGGCAGTGTCGTCTGCAATCCGAAGGATTTGCCAGTGTCTAAAAGATGCACGTGTCCCGAGTGACAGTTGAAACAGGTCAGGCAGAATCCAGAAGCCAGATATGGTATTGATGTTTGTTTGCTTTGAACTAAGATAGTTGTAGCAACTTGGGGAAAACCAACAGGAAAGGCTGATTGGTTGAATTCGTTTTTTGGCAAAACGCCTGAAAGTTGTGAACCCGAGCCACCCACAGCGTTAGGCACGACTCTTTGGACCCGATTCATGTGTGCTTATGGTGTTGCTCACTCACCGTAGGTCTTTTTGCTTGGGGATGCTTGCATAGGTGTCCTTTTCGATTGTTTGGGTAGAAACATCATTAGATGGCGATTCCTGGTTTACCTGGTGAATCATCTAGCAGGGCCATCTATTTCCCCCAAAAGGACATGGATGATTGTTTTCACTTGGAAAGATTGTAGAATTGCAGATGCGCACAATGTTTGTCCTGCGCTGGCGAATCGAAACGAGACGCAGGCACGCCAAAGGAAAATGGAAGAGGAGGCTGAGGCCGAGCTGGAGAAGGGCAACGGTGCCAAACTGAAGATGGCCATTGGAATCTTCAAGTTGATCAAAATCTGAGCTTGGGAGACATGAGACCCAAGTAGTTGGGGATTTTTTCACAGAAAGTGTTCTAAGTGTTCTGACTGTCATTTGCGGTGTTCCATGGGAGCGTCAATTACAAGTGTTCAGATGTGGTTCGAGTTGTGTGTCTTCTTGACCCATAGCAACAGAAAGGAAATTCAAGCAGCAAGGAAACCAAAGATGACCTGCCATGTCAAGTGTGAAATCGCGGCAATGGCGATGGCTCACTGTGATTCGCAAGCCAAGCATGTACCCTGAACTGCCGTTTATGCTGCGAAATTTGCGTCGCACAGCTCCGTGCAGCAGGAGATGCGTGAGAGACTCGAGTCAGCGTGAAGTCACCAGGCTGTGGGTCAAAGCCAATGGTACCATTTGATAGGTGCATCACCCATTTTAGGGGACGATTTGGATTTTGACCCATGGCCACCACTTCTAAGCCAGGCTTACGAAGACAAGGTCATGCAGGCGCTGGTAGCTCTTGCCAAGCCGCAACATAGGCTCTACGTGTTGGTCGAAAGGCTTGGGTCAAATCCAAAATGCCCCAGTCGCAAGGGCAAATCATTTGGGAGGGACATGGAGGACTTTAAATTTCAAACCAAAACCGGTGGATCTCGAATTCCCAGGGCTCCTTAAAAGATACCTTTTGCCCATTTGATTCATGGCTTTTTCCACCAAAATAAAGGGACACCACCATTTTCAAGGCAATGTTCAGGCGTATAATGTAAGGATCCCTGTTTCCCCATGTGGACAACAAAATGGGGCCCTTTTGCAGCCATGCGGCATGGGGGTGAAAGAGTTGGGACAAGCCTTGCACGTGAGCTTGAGTTTACATAGCTGCGGTGGTCAAAAATGGGTGTCCAAAATGAAACCCTGGCACATGGAGCCGAGGGCTCAAACCTGCGCTCCGCTGGATTGATTTTGACCAATGCGCCAAATGGCCATGGTTCAAAACCAATGATACCATTTTGGGATAGGTGCACCACCCATTTTAGAACCCAGCTTCGTGGGGATTGGGTCCCGTTCACGAAAAGCTACGATTTGGGGTCAAATGACCCCTGCAATCCAACCCCTAAAATAGGTTCTAAAGTTAAAATGGTGAATTCACCTACCCCAAAATAGTACTATTCGTTTTGACTTCTAAAATGGGCGGTGAATTCACCTACCAACCAAAGTGGGATCAACCACAACGGTTTTGACCCCTGCGCCAAGTTTCTCCGGACACCTCCGCTTCTCGAGCGGCGAACTCGTTCGCTCCAGGCCATGCGGAGCCAGGAGCGCGCGAAAGCCCGGGCTGCAGAGTTCAGATATCGGGAGAAGAGCGTGGAGAAGGCGAGCGGAACGAAAAAAAACGGGTCCAAGGGTGGTTTTTGTTTGTTTGGCGATGAGTAGGTTGTTCTTATATTTTCTGGGAGTTGTGGTGTCCGCTTTTTCTTCTTCTTCTTCTTCTGCTTCTTCTTCTTCTTCTTCATCTTCTTCTTCCTTTTTCTTCTTTTTTTTTTTTGGGGGGGGGGTTGTTGTAATGTGGGTTTGTTGTTCTTTAGATGTCAGAAAATCAGAAAAAAACAACTCCTTTGTTTTGTGTTTGTTCTCGGAAGATGCAAGCACAGCGAGCATTGCTGAGGGATGAACATTTGCAGGCCAGTGTGATTGTGACGGCCTTGGGTTCACAGCCGTGACTGGGAACAATGGGGCTGGTGTAGCAGCATTGTTGCTGATTGGCGAACAGACACCTTCCGATTTCTGGCACGGCCTTGTGAGTAAAAGTCACAAGTTGGTGGAACTGACTACGGGCATCTTGATTTGGGACAGCTGGAGTCACGCGGGCTGGGGGGGAGGGGGTTCAATGACAGCCGCCGTTCACAAGAGCCACCTTGCGATTTCGTACACAGTTCTCAAGCCTGAAACTCAGAAGCGGGTTGGCGAGTGCCGGCTCCTGATTTGGGCTGATTCAGGACAGCCTGACTGAGCCAGGTGTTCTTGTGCGTAGTCTGGTTTGTGTTTGTGTATGGTAGAATGTCGTTAGGCGGAGATCTTGGTCTGATGTGCATCTGGACCTGACTGCTTCCTGGCCTGGAGTACCGAGCCTTTCGCGCACTTGCTTGCGCTCGTGACACTTGCAGCAGCAAGCAGAAACGCGCGTCTCGTTTGTGGTTTTGAGCTGTGTTGTAGAATGTCCTTAGGCACAGGCTTTGGCAGGAACCCAACCGCTTCCTGGCCTTGACGCACCCATCCGCAGGCACTCACGCGGGGACCTTGCAACACAGTACAAAAACGCGAACAAGACTACACAGAAGAACATCCACAAGACACGCCGGCAGAGCCGGCGGATTTCTGTAAGAGTACCTTGTTTTCTATTTAGCATCAAAACCAGGTGCCAAATCTTGTAGAAACCATGGCTAAAGCTGTTCAAACATGCCGTTATGAAAACCTCCACTTTGGGTTTCCCTGTTGCTCCCCTTTCCATACGTGTCCAAAACGGGTACCGAGCCTCAAAACAGCCGCGTCACATGCTGACCCGTTCCCCAAGCCAGTTACTCGGCAGGCCCGCGCGATGCTCCAAGAGGAGCAGCATGCAAGGGAACAGGCAGCTGCTGAAAACGCCTCCGCCCCGGATGGTTTTGGCATGCGTAACGCCCAGATCCCAAGCAAAGTTGGAGCCAGCTCGCACGGAAGGCGATGTCTCCCAGTTTCGGCGATAGCTTTTGGGTGCTGCGTTGTTTCTCTCCCAAGAGCCACATTTGCCAATCACTCTGAAAGATAGAGCCTCTTGCTCATCACTTTAGTCTGGCCAGCGGGTAGGGCGAAACGACCTCAGCCATCAAACGCACGACAATTTGAATATGGGTCAAAATTAAACCACCAGGAATCGGACCGCAGGTTTTTGTCCATGTTTCCATTTACCAGGGTTTCATTTTGGGTACATGGCCATACCCAAAACGAAACCATTTACCAGGTGCCATACCCAAGGTACCTATTTTTGACCCACACCCATTTCTGGCAAACGAGTCATGGTTTTTCACCTCGGGCCTGAGGCTCTTCAGGAGCGACAGCGGAAGCGCCACTGGCGCGCGGAGATTGCGGAGGCCTCGGCGATCCTTTTTCCGAATGAAACGAGAGCCTTTTTAGCATCCATTTGCTGAAGGATGTGTTTTTATTGTCCCTTGCTGGTTTTAAAGGGAATCTATCACTACTGGAATTATTATTTTTTACTTTTCCAGGGCGCTTCAGCAAATGGAAGTTAGGCGTTTCGTTGGGCGGGGTTTGTGTGCGCACGGGTTCAAATGAAATCTCTGCCCAGTGGCGCCGTTTAAACTCAACCAAGAAAAGGATGCCCATACATTTCAATGGAAATCCACTGGGCATCTGAGACTAGGTCCCCCAGTAGTGCCCTTTTACCAACTTGTTTGGGGTTTTGGGTTCCCCTACTAAAATAGACTACATAAAAAGAAATCGGGTATCAACTTATTCTAACCTCTCAAATCTGGAGGACCTAAGAGAAATGAGCTTGAGCGGATCCCAGGCCTGATCAAACGTTGGACGGGCTCGGCTGAAGCGGTTTCGGCCTGAGGCGCGTGGCTCCCATCCCGAGCCTGCATCTCGACCCTCGAGCTATCCGCCTTTGGCCAGGCTGGGCACCGGGAAACAGGAGGTCAACCGGTGAGCCCACACTACCAATATCCGTTTTTTTGGCTCTATGTTGAAAACCATTGGGTGTGTTTACTATATAAAAACCCATTGGGTTTGTGTTTGTATAAAACCCACTGTTTTTTTTTTTTTTTGCAAAAGAGGCAATGCAGTAAAGAAGAAGAAAACAAACGCTACATCCACAACGCGGTTTACCTTTAGCAGCTTCGGCGACCATGGAAGGGTGTGTCTCCACTCGTGGCGATACCTTTCGCATTTCGAGAACTTTGCCTTTGCTATAGCGCACAGTGTCTGTTCATTGGGGGGCAGGGGGAGAGGAGGAGAAGGTTGAAGGCCCTAAATACAAGCAAGTCAGTGTGTCTGAAAGAGTGAAACCCAAGGTAGACAAAACAAGCCTAAAACCCAAATTGCGCAAAGAGGTGAACCCCAAAGTGGAACCAAAAAACGCAAAAAATGAAACCCGCGCCCGGTCAGGCCTCCAAGGCGGGAAGCCCGAGCAGGCGCGAATGGGTTTGATGTCGACCGCACCTTTTCGGCTGCGGTGGTCAAAACCGTTTTGGGATCCCATTTTGGTTGGTAGGTGAATTCACCACCCATTTTAGAAGCTATTTTAGTGGAGCTTGTAGGTGAATTCACCACCCATTTTAGAACCTATTTTAGTGTTTGGATTGGGATGTTCATTGGGGGTACGACTTGGATTTTGAGCCATGGCCATTGGGACCTTGCCTTTCCGGACCAAAGCCATCTTTCCGATTTCCGAGTTCGCGTGTTCTGCCAGCCACTTGCCGACTTGCCGATTTGGGCTAGGCCAAAGTGCCGCAAGAGCTGTCGCCCGCGCTGGAAGTGGAAGCGCCAGCGCTGAGAGCAGCCGCGCCAGCACGCCAAATTGCCCTGTGTGGGCTGTCGTGGATCCCGACGCACCCAGGCGCGAGCTTGAGCAATGTGCCTGTGGGTCAAAAATCGGTGCCCTAAATGGGACCCTGGAAACATGGACCAAAATCTGCGGTCCGATTCCTAGTGGTCTAATTTTGACCCATACCTGACGTGATAGAGCGTGTGCCGAACGAGTTCCTCCCGTTGACATGGGTGTGGCTCAAAATTAAAGAGCTCGGGCAAACCGCAGGTTTTAATCTTTGGTTCCATTTAATGTTTGGTGCCATTTTGCTACATTTATTTGAGCCACAGCCACATGGAAGCAAGAAAATGGTGTCTACCAAAAGGAGCTTCCTCTGCAAATCAGGGTTGTTGAGCTTGCATGTTAATCTGGGGCGCATCGTCTATCATTTTGAAAGCAATGATTTAACTTGACAGTCCTGCCAAAAGTTGCTGTTTCTTGAGGTAAGAGCGTCCAGGGCAGGTTTCACCCCATCCAAGCTCGCGAGCGCAGAGGCCGCAAGCTTTGCCGAAAGCTCCGAAGAAGGCAGGAGAGACCAATGCCGACCCACACATTGAGTCATGGTCAAAATGTCCAGTACTCCATGTTCTGCTTGAGAGGGACGGGAAACTTGCCGACTTATTAAGTCTCCACACAAAGCTCCATATGCCCATTAGTGGTTGACTCTACTGGGTTTGCAGCTGCTTGCAGCTGCCAGGTCCTTGTCGCTCGCGGTTTCTGTTGGTCCGGAGGGTCCCCCTCCCGTCCCCTTGCAGAGGGATATCTGCACGATTTCGCGAGTTTCAAGCGCCCGGACAGACAGCTCTAGCGGAAGGGCGCCTTGCTTGTGAACTTCCTTTGACTGGGACCTGGTCAGCTTTGGAAGACCTTTGCTGCCACGGACGACCAGAGAAGGTGGCGATGAATTCGGCCTGCTTGGTCGAGCCGTTGGCAACGGCTGTGCAGCAACCTGGGTGAGTCTGGGTTCGTGGCTGGGGAACAACCAGGGCAAGACTTCTGTGACCTCTCCATCAGCACAGGTGGCTGAGGCCTTTTGTTCCAAGAGCGAGGCCGGAAGTGGCGGGTCGATCCACCATGATTCATCACTGGACAAGGATGGCAAGGACATGGCATGGACCGCACCGTCCATCACTGACATTTTTGATAGCTTTTAGGCCTAAGGTCTGGCCTTTGGGACAATTGTCTGTTT